TTTTTTTTTTTTTTTTTTTGAATGTCCAGAGGACGAGATTGAACTTTCTTGGAGCATACACAATATTACTCTGTTTGTGCCGGGGGACTGGATCTTTGGGATGAACCAGTCTTTGCCGTAATGTATTTTGCGGTTTAAAAGCCACTGGGACATTATGTTTAGAAAATAAACGTCTCAGTTTCTCTGATACTCCTTCAACATATGGAATGACCACTGGTCTGGGTCTGGGTTCCTCCTTTTCTCCTGATGGCTGACTGGAGTCCTGTTTGGGTTTCTTCTCTGCTTTCAGGAAGGCCCAGTTAGGATATCCACATTGCTCTAGAGCCTGTCTTGTGTAGGATTTCTCCTTCTGCCTGGCTCCTGAGTTAGCGGGGACGCTGTCTGCTCTGTGGTACAGAGTCCTTATGACTCCTAACTTGTGCTCCAAAGAGTGATGGGAGTCAAACTGCAAATACTGGTCTGTGTGGGTGGGTTTGCGGTACACCTCGGTTTGCAAATGTCCTCTATCAGAGACTGAGACCTCACAGTCCAAGAAAGCCAACCTGCCATTTTTTACATCTTCTCGTGTGAACTTGATGTATTTATCCACAGAGTTGATGTGGTCAGTAAAATGTTGGACTTCCTGAGATTTAATTTTAACCCAGGTGTGGTCAACATACCTGAACCAATGACTTGGTGGTGTCCCTGAAAAGGACGTCAAGGCTCTCTTTTCTCCTTCCTCCATGTACAGGTTGGCAACAATAGGAGAAACTGGAGACCCCATAGCACACCCATGTTTCTGCCTATAATATTGCTCCCCATATGTGAAGCAGGTTGACTGCAGGCACAGTTTCAAGAGTTGACACAGTTGTTCTGTGGAAAGCGTGGTCCTGCTGCTCAGAGTGGTGTCTGATTTTAATCTTAAACTGACCACCTCTACTGCATCATCAACAGGAATGCATGTAAAGAGTGATGTGCGATCAAAAGAGACCATTGTTTCATCAGTCTCCATGATGACATCCCTCAATTCCACAAAGTCCTCAGACTGAGGAAGTCTTTCGGATGAGAGATGAAACGTTTCTACATTTTTTTTGTTTTGTTTTGTTTTTTTGAATGTCCAGAGGACCAGAATGAACTTATTTGGATTTTTCTACCTGGATTATTGAGCATGCATCAGGTTAAATTCCTCTAGTTTTGATAAATACTTGTAATTTTACCTCAGGGTACACAAAGAGCTCAGTAACTTAATGTGAAATGTGACCCTTCGATATATGAACCACATCCAGTCTTAAATACATAAATAAAAGTCAGTGACTGTAAGCTAAATGCAAGGATTTGCATTTTGGCCAAACAACCGCAGCAGAAAGGTTTACAAACTTTTATCAAAAACATACTGATATAAATAAATGCTGAAATATTCCATAAAAAAAGACAAACTTCTCTAGATGAGACCAGTTTATTTGGTTATTATTATTTTGCTCAGTTCTGGCCCGGACTTGTTGCACCAGCTGAAGAGTCGAGTCGCACTTACTCATCATGACAAAGGTTGTTGGCGGCCTCCTCAGCCACCAGGACATCATATTCCTCTGCAGCATATTTCTCCCAGTCGGAGACCTCCTGATCGTCGGTTTCTGCCTCCTTCAAATATGAAAACAAGTCAAACAATGTAACCGCTGCAGGTAAATAAAGGTCCGATCAGAACCTCCGTACCCTGATAACAGAGAAAGGATCCCTCTGCTCGTGGTCCAGGTACTTCTCAATGTTGAAGAAAGTGTCAAAAAAGATGTGGGCCAACTTGCACCTCTTGAGGTCTCTCAGAGTGATCTTACCTACAACACATTAAAACAGTTCACTAAAAACAGAGTTTTATTTCTGTAGTCATCTTCTCAAACACACACGTTTGAACAAATTAATTAAATTAATGCATTAATGGCGTGTTATTTTATGAATTTAAGTTGTAATATCTGCCTGACTTGATGTGCTTTGCTTGTAATGTTGCAAAATGCTCTGGTCTGTAAAATGTGGGGTTATGACATGTTTAATTAGAGGCATGTTGAAAGATGCATCTAATTAAAACTGGTCCACTGGTAATAACAACAGAGTCAACGACAACATTTACTGAGAATTTTATAAAATTCATAACATTTAATTGAATCGTGTAGTCATTGCACATCTATTACAGCAGCAACTGTTTCCATATATTTAAATAAGATGAAAATACTAATTTACCAAGATTATCTCCTCAATCATAATGATAGATTTATGTAATCTCTCTGACGGGCCTTCTTAAACTAGTACTGAAACAAATCAACAATTTTCATATTGATTTATTATTAGCCATTTCTTCAGTAAACATCTAGAATTTATAAAAAAAAAAAAAAAAACACAACTTTTCTTTTCCTCTTAATTTTTATTTACAGAATCATCATCTTAATCTTAAACTTACTTAATGACACTAACTGCTGGATGTCTGGTCCCTGACCTCTTGTCTTTCAGTAACTGTGGCCCCTTTGAGTTGAGTGACCCTGCTTTAGATCTTTATTTCTACTCTAATTGCCATTATTCACTATTCCCCCTTTTTATTTATCATGTTCTTCAGTTTTATTTTATTTTACTGTATTTATTGTTCAATATCAATATTATTTGATCAAACCGATTTTGTCTGAATTAGACAATAATAGTGGCATGCTCATTAACACACGTTTCCATTCTTCCTTAAAAAAACTAATTAAATATAATGACTTAGTTCTTGTACTTATAGTTTTTCAGTTTCTTATCTCAGTATGTTAATGTATACAGCTGTGCTGTCACTCGGTGTCCAAGGAAACATTTCAGTGGAGAAGTTGTTGCATGTCATATTATGCAATGCCATTCATACGCAACACATGCTTCTTTTACACGAGCTGCTTTAGGGTCAGATTCTCACTGAGACTGTCAATAAACACATACACCCAGTCATGAACTGGTAAATTCTAAATAACACTGGGAGAGCTAAGTGTTGAAGAGTGACGGTGTGGTGACACCAGCAGCTGGCTGCAGGCAGCCCAGTGTTTTCTTCTCATCTGTATCTGTAACCTTAGCCGATGATCAATGGTCTGGACTGGGGGCGAGGTGCAACCCGTCACACTGTGCTGCATGTGCAAATGTGAAACAGATCTCACCTTCCACTTCTGGTGTGACGAGGTCAAGCATTTGGCACAGGCAGTCCTCGAAGGGAAGGGGCTCAATAGCCATGGCCTCCAGTTTTTGACACTGTTCCTCGTAGAAGTACTCCAGCTCATACATGCTGAGCACCCCATCCCCATCCAGGTCCATACAGCGGAACCAGTACTCTATACTGGACACAAAAAAGGGTTCAGCTAAAAAAAAAAAACAAGTTAGCTGGATGTTTTGAAGTGTAGTTCTGTGAAGAGGTAAGGAACAATTAATACAGTTGTTGCAGAAAGCTCCTTGAACAAACTCAGTTTAAATAATTTTTTTTTACATCTGATCTGAATGATAGAAGCTAATCTGAGTGGAGCCAAGACCAAAGTGGACTGCTGCCGTCTTACAACGACTCAAGTCTCAAAATTTTTTTAAATTGTTCATGCACATGCTACTTTATACATTTTTACTCCTGTCAATTTAGCAATAAATGAGTATTCTGGCAAAATCTATTATTCCTGCAGGATGTTTCTCAGGCAGCACAGAAAATGCTACAGCTAGCTGCTCCTACCCCTAATTGCACTTGCAAAAAACTACAAAAGTGTGTCCAAACCTGCTCTGTAAAATTCATAGTGAAATAAAGGTTTTTAAAATAGCGTTTGCATAAAAATCTATTAAAAAAAATGTTTTAAAATGACAGAAAACCACTATGGTCTTGTTTCAGCTCAACTTAGCTGTTAGCTTGTCATTCTGGTCATATTTCAACTATTTCTCCAAACTGTGTTCATTTAAGGCAGTGGTTCCCAATAAGGATGCACAATATTATCGGCATGGTATCAGTATCAGCTGATATTAGCGATAAAGTTAAATATCGAACATAAGCCGTTCCATCAAAATAACATCGATATAAAAGGCTTCTGTTTTAAGTTAATTTTTAATTTAAGAAACTGTCAAGTATATCTATTAATGCGCTACTTATGCACTTTTCACTTGTTGCTTGTAAACATGTTGAGTTTAGATTTGTGAAAATATACAAATTTGCACTGTTCGGGTGTTGTCATTGTGTTAGAGAGAGTAAATGTCATGAGTAAATTTGACATATATTGAAATATGATCTCTCCTACTAACTCCAGTTAAGACTCTGGCAGCAGCATTTTGGATCAACTAAAGACGTTTTAAAGAAGTATTTGGAAATCCAGATAATAAACCATTGCAATAGTCCAGTCTAGACGTGACAAATGCATGGACCAGTTTTTCTGCATCATTTTTAAATAAGATGTTTCTAATTTTAGCGATATTACGCAGGTGGAAGAAGGCAGTTCTAGTAACGTTTTTAATGTGGAGGATAAAAGACATGTCCTGATCAAAAATAACACCAAGATTTTTAACATTAGAGCTGGAGGACAGATTAATGCCATCTAAGGAGGGAGAAAGACTGAAAAAATAATTCCTAAGGTGCTCAGGTCCAAAAACCAAAACCTCAGTTTTGTCTGTGTTCAAAAGGAGAAAATTAAGGGTCATCCAGGTTTTTATGTCTTTAAGACATGCTTGTAGTCTAAGTAGCTGATATGATTCATTGGGTTTAATGGACAAATATAATTTTGTGTCATCAGCATAACATTGAAAATTTAGCCCATGCTGTTTAATAACTTTACCTAATGGAAGCATATATAAAGTAAAGACTGAGCCCTGAGGAACTCCATGACTAACTTTGGTGTATGAAGAAGATTTATTATTTACATTTACAAACTGGAATCTATCAGATAGATATGATTTAAACCATTTTAGAGCCATTCCTGTAATCCCAATATCATATTCAAGCCTCTGTAGTAAAATATTGTGATCAAGTGTATCAAATGCAGCACTGAGGTCTAACAGGACCAGTATAGACACAAGTCCATTGTCTGAGGCCATGAGAATATCATTAGTTACTTTTACTAGTGCTGTTTCTGTGCTATGATGAGCTCTAAACCCTGACTGAAACTCATCAAACAGATTATTTCTTTGTAGATGTTCACGCAACTGACCTGCAACTATTTTCTCTAGAATTTTTGAGATGAAAGTTAGATTAGATATAGGTCTATAGTTGGCCAGAATTTCTGAATCAAGATCAGACTTTTTAAGTAAAGATTTAATTACAGCAACCTTAAAGCGCTGTGGTACATAACCATCCATTAAAGACAAATTAAGTAGATCCAAAATGTGGACATTAATTAGGGGAAATACCTCTTTAAACAGTCTGGTTGGGATGGGATCTAGCAGGCATGTGGATGGTTTGGATGAGGTTATTATTTTTGACAATGCAGAGAGCTCAACAGGACAAAAACTGTCCAAACATAAATCAGGTTCTAGTGAAATTTTTAAAGTTGCCTCATTTGACAGGGGACTAGAGATGGTAGAAGGAAGGATGGTTTGAATTTTCTCTCTAATTGAAATAATTTTATTTATAAAGAATCTCATGAAGTCATCACTACTTATAGTTGTAGGGATACATGGTTCAACAGAAATGGGACTTTTAATTAGTCTAGCAATAGTACTAAACAGAAACCTAGGGTTATTTTTATTCTCCTCTATTAAAGATGAGTAATATAAAGTTCTAGCCTTACGGAGAGCTTTTTTATATTAGCAGACTCTCTTTCCAAGTTAAATAAAATTCTTCAACATTGGTAGAGCGCCATTTTCTCTCCTGGTTTTTAGATGCCTGCTTTAAAGTACGTAACTCAGAATTGAACCAAGGAGCCAGTTTCCTCTGATTGATTACTTTCTTTTTCAGTGGAGCAATTTTATCAAGTGAAGTTTGCATTGAAGTTGTAAGATGATCAACTAGACAATCTAAATCACTGTTCTCTGGTGCATTACTCTGCAAGACAGAGGAAAACATTGATGGAAGAGATTGTTTAAATTTGGTTATGGCATTCCACAGCAGAGCAAGATATGTAGTCTCTGTAAATAGGTCTAGGAAAAAAAAATATTGGTACTGGCAATCGGACAAATACTTTTTTACATCCAAAAAAAGTTCAATCTGGTCCTCTGGACATTCAAAAAAACAAAAAATAAAACAAAGCAAAAAAATATAGAAACGTTTCGTCTCTCATCCAAGAGACTTCCTCAGTCTGAGGTGCTGTTTTCAGCTCAGTCTCTTAAATAGCACCTTCTCAGAGTGGATCAACCAGTTTGCTGCTGACAACCAAAACCAGCTGATCACATGCTCAAGAAGGACCATCAGCCTAACAATGGATCATTAGCACACTGATGGCTGTTTACTATTCACAGAGGGCTGAGTGATACTAGCAATCACAGCATTGTAAGAGGGGGACAGTT